TCTACCTCCCCCCGCGGGCAGGACTACCCCTGGTCGGGCTTAATAAAAAAATATCCTTTGCTGACTGGACAGGCCTCTTCATTCTCCTCTTCCTCTTCTTCATCCGCCGAGAGGGAAGGGAGCAAGCTTTTCTCGTTTTCTACCTGTTCTGTTCCTTTTCTCTCACCCCCCCCTTTTTTTTTTCATCTTCCGTTTCTGCTGCTCGGACTCTGTTTCTCTTCACTCCTTACCTGATTGTTTGTGCCCACGATACTACGAGCTGCCCGGTCCCGGAGCCCCTTCAACTAGTCCGGCCGTGCTGTCGGGGTTCAGGGGTGCCGTGCACTGAACCCCCGTTTCCATTTTCCTACTGACGCTCGGTGGTTCTCCTGTGAGGGGTAGTAGAGTAAGAATAAAGTGGATATCGAGAAGGTGAATTTTGTCGAAAGTACTCGGGCTCCGGACACTCCCTTGTTGCTGTTGCTGTTGCTGCTGCCGCCGTTTAAATGGCCAAGTCCCGCATCTCGAGAATAGACAGCGACTCGTTCGACCCAGCAATCGGTTGGGAAACGATCGACTTTCCCGACGCAACAGCCTACTCCTCCACCCACCCTTCATCCCCGGGTTCACCCTACGCGCCCTTGGGTTCTCAACACGGATATTATGGTAGTGGCGGGTATGGGCATAGGCACAGTCCCTCCCAAACGGAGGAATTTTCCCGAACCCGCCATGGCGAACCGGTCTTCTCCTCACCGGAGATATCCCCACAGATGCGCCCGGTTCCCGAAGACGGGGTGCCGGAATCTCTGCGTATAGCGTCCCCGCTATCACCCATGTTCCCACGCGGCGGCAACCCGCCGCTAAATCCGCCGTACGCCGCAGCGTCCGCCCAAACATATGGTTTCCAGACAAACTCGCATAAGCGACGGAGCACCATTGAGAATTCGGTCCCGCAGCTGCCCCCGCCGACTGCTGGCGGCTATAGTAGGAATAATAGTAATAACAGGAATTCGGTTGCATACGATATTCCCGCTCCACCACCGCCCCCTACGGTCCCGATGGACTTTGACGACACGGATTACGAGCGCGTGAGACTTACCGAGCATAATCGGATCTCGTATGAGGGGGGTGGTGGGGGTGGCGGGCAGTTTATTTCCGGTGGGTGGGGTGGGCCGGATCGGCGGCCAAGTATGGCCAAGCGATTGGGCGATAAGATCTTAGGCACGGTGAAAGGGCGGGGATCGAGGTTGAGCGCTAGAAGTTATTTAGGGCCTATCAGGGATCGGGGAGGGGGTTTCGGGGATGGAATAGGCGAGGGGGACTATACAAAGGTTGATGAAAGGGACGATGAAGAGCCTGTCGGCTATGATATTAGCAGTTTTGGCGCGGACTTCATTCCCGCTCCGGCGGCTAAGGCCATGGAGGATTACAAGATGGATGCAGATTATGCTTATACTGGTGAGTTTTGGTGGCCAATCGCCAGAGCACCCGCCACTGAGCGTGGCGAGAGGGCGTGTGGGGCTAATTGCGGCGCAGGTACCGGTGAAGTGATAGATTTGTCGTCTTTCGGGGGTGGGGGGGACAGTAATGAGCGAAGGGATTGTACGTTTTGCCAGAGTCTCCGAGTCAGCAGTGGGTTGGAGCTAATTTTTATAACAGCGGATGCATTCTCCCTCCATCGAGCGGGGACAATGGAAAACAGCGACAAGCAATCATACTACTTCCCTCCAAGTAAACCCCCCCCCCAGTAAAAAAACAAAAAAACAGAATGAATTAACCCCGCTAACCTGACCAAATAAGACCGTGTAATTCCTAATTGGAAACCGGTATCCATGCGCCCCTGGTTCATAGCCTGCCTCCTCCTCTGCTCCCTCGGACTAATAGGCGGCGTGGAAACCCTCTACCAATTCTCCGACAAGGGCCTAATCCGTAAAGGCGGATCAAAAGGAATAATATCCTTTAAGCGCGTAGACAAAGACTTGTCAATGGTAAGCTTCGCAATGTGGAAGTACCTCCCGGTACTAATAGCCGTAATATACGGTATCCTCTGGAAAATTACGGATACGGAAGTGAAGCGTACAGAGCCGTATTACCAACTCAGCAGGGGAGTCAAGGGAGCCCTCGCGGCAAGCACCTTAAACATCGAATACCAAACCTTTTGGAGTCTACTCGTTCCCATTGCCGCGATACAGCATCGGCAATGGCTCGTTGTGGCTTCATCCGTGGCATCACTCCTAGCGTTCGCCCTGGTCCCCGTGCTGCTGTCCGTATTCATCGAGATTTCCCCGTCCCAGCGCTCGCGCAAGAAGATGATGTTCCCGGGCACAAACATCAGAATGCCCGACGCAGATATAGAAAAGACGATTGTCGTTGATAAATTCTTTTCCCGAATCCTCGAAGCCACCGTGGCAATAATCTTCCTTCTAGGAGCGGGGATGGTAGTCGTTTTGTCCCGCCGCCGTTCCGGCCTGCTAGGAGACCCCAGCGGGATTGCGGGGGTCGCTGCGATGGCAAACAAGTCCCACATTCTAATGGACTTCAAAGACCTAGACTCCGCCTCCGAGGAGACGATCCACAAGCAACTCAACAAGCGAACATACATCCTGCACAAGGGTGCCCTCTGGCAAGCCCAATTGCTCAAGGAAAACGAGCGTGATGTGAACGCACCCAAGGCAATGAACCCGCACCCGCTCATCCTCCGCCTGAAGGGAGGCCTCCCGTTCATCGCCTTCCTTCTCATACTCTGTGGAATCCTGCCACCGTTAGCTTACGGCCCGCTCGGTGTAGTGGTGGACCAAACCCCCTGGGCCCTAACCTTCTTAGCCGTGCTGATAAAGTCCATCTGGGAAATCGTGGAGAAGGACATGCGCATGCTGGAGCCCTTCTGGGTCCTATTCAACCGGCACGCACCGAGCAGCGTCTTAACGCTGGACTACTCTGCCACGATCCCTGGATATCTGGTGCTCAAGGCCGCTAGTAAGGGGCATTTCCTCCTAGCATGGGTGGGCTTCGTATCCCTTCTCGTGGAAGTTCTCACCGTGGTGATGGGCTCCCTAGACAGCACCGGCGGCGAGGAGTCTGACCTGAGCTTCACTGTGTCTTTCGTCCTGGGTGTTATAATTCTTTGCGTGACAATCTTGACAATGGGCCTCGTACTGCACCTTCGCCGGGCCCCGTTCCTCCCCCGCCAGCCCGGGACCATATCATCTGTGCTGGCGTTCATACACCAGAGTAAGATGTTGGTGGACTTTGAGGGTACAGAGGAGCAGAGCACTGCTATGCGGAAGAAGAAACTTAGAAGGCTAGGACATACCTATGGCTTTGGCTGGTTCCGGGGACGCGACGATAAGTGGCATCTGGGTATTGATCACGAGGAGCTATTGCAAGGGTATAAGTTTGGGAAGAGTGCGCTGGACGGGGTGATTCAGAATGTGGATTGGGAGCATTGTACTGTCTAGTTGGGACGGGAGGGCTTGAAATGGAGAGGGGTTTGAATGTGTGTGTGGTGGGGGGGGTATTTGGCTTTGGCGTTTATGTTGCCTTTCTTGTCCTATTCTTCAGAAACATATTATCTCACCCACCAGCCAGTTTGTTAGATATTCCTTATTCTTCTTGTTACTTCTTTCCCCCCTTAACCTGTACTATCCGATTTCTTCACTTTACTTTGTCAGTTTTCGCTATACCTAGTCGGTGGGAACGGCAGGAAGGAAGTAAGGAGTCAAACAAGATTATATCAATCGGATCAGCTATGCTGCGCTCTGGGGTTCACGGCATGGCATAAAGCGGCGCATCATATCCTACCATACAGTGGCGGAAGTACACCCTCGTCCAAATGTTTAGCCGCAAAGCACGACCCAATGCGAAACTGTCGACATCATAAAATCAGGATGCTTGCGTACCTCCGGTTGTGTAACCGATACGAAGAGTTGAAAAAAACTCAATGCCCGAAGGGCGAGGGGGAAGACATCACCCGACCCGTGTGTAAGGTAGTGGGGTACCCGATTCTCCCCTCCCCCGCCTCCAATTCGGTTCCTCATTATCTATTACCCGTTCGGCCAGCTCGTTCACGCCGAAGTTTATCATTCCGGCATCATATCATACATACCACATGGCATTGGCGCTCGCTTACATAAGCACGAATGAGCATTCCAAAGTATTTTCAGGAGACTTCCCGCGGCACGCTAATCGGCTTGTAGCAGGGAGCGTTCTTCCCCGTTATGGCAGTCGCTACGCCCTCCATCGGCCGGTCAGAGAGCGGGAAAATCCGCCATCGGGGCACCAGATCGGATACCAGGCCAACCTAGCTGCACTTATTTGGCCGGAGGATACAAGTACGGTACGAGTAGTAAATTAGGATTTCTACGGATTCTTTTTTGTAACAGCACTCGAACGACTCAGCGGTGCAGTGCTTCTGGCTTACTGTAGCCTAGATGTTTTTGGCGAATTGCGGAGCTCCGGTCATTCCGGGACCGACTTGGCGTGCTCTGATGGGAAGGGAACTTGACGGTATCATATAGATACCGTAGTACTGTACTCGTACTCGTATAGAGAGAGGGGTGCATCGTACTTGTACCGCACAGTACTACCCGTAGGGTAAATTATCTATGAATACCCTACCCTACAGGATAAGCCCGAGGTTATTTAGCCGCGTTGGTACTGTATGGCGCTGTGACGCTGTCAACGCAATTGGTCCTGTCGTGCTTGCAGTGTTCTGCGCCGGTACCCGTTGTCCATCTAAATTTACACGTCCAACGGTACAAGTATCATACGCATCTCCGAAATGCGCTAGGGGGCTTGGCTGCAAGCCCCGGTTGTGGGGTCCATCATATCATAGTCTACAGTACAGTCACACCCCGCTATCCCGGATCTCGATAATCCGGATACCTCGCTGTCCCGTATGAATTTCTGCGAGCTTTGGATTTATTTCCACCAAAACCTCACCCGTTGTCCCGGATCCCTCGCTGTTCCGGACAGATTCTTCGGATTTTGGCCATCCGGGATAGCGGGGTGCGACTGTACTCGTACTTTACAGTTGTACTCGTACGTCCCGGTAGTTTCTGGTGCAGTGCCGTATGGGGATTTCCGGTATCGGTACAAGTAAGAGCGCCGCAGGTTTTGGCGCCAAGCGCAATGGCGTATTCCGGGGTGCGGTGTCTTAGCCGCCCCGGAATTGGCATGGACTCGGCGCCCATATTTTTTTTTTAAAAAAAAATTCGGAATATCCCAATTTCTATTCGTATCTTACATTAAGGTGAGGTTTTATAGTTTCTTGGCGTGCATGGTGGCGGTTTTGTGTGCAGTGGCGTATCAATTTGTGGGAGTTTTCAAAATTTGGTGGAGGGGGGGGGGGGGTAGGGGAGGAATGGCTGACTGACCATTGGTGGTTTCGCTATGTTCCGGTATAATAGACTAACTTATTCGTAGGTTTTGATATCGTAACTGCAGCCGACTGCCATCCTCCGAGGGGAAGGGGCGCATCTGTTTCTACTCGTACTTGTACGAGTACATACAGGTACAGTACTGTGCCACGGCTGCCGCGGGCCCGCCTGCCTGGCGGCTTTGGTGCTCACCTGGGGGTAAGTTAGGCATTCGGCGCTGCTTAATTTAACTGAAGCAATCTGCACAATTCTGCCCGCTGGTTTACTCCCTCCCCGTGTGAATGGTGGATGCATATATTTAACCTTATTTTCGTTCCCCTTCATACCAACAAACTCAGGCTCCGTTCGGCTCGATCCATTCATGGATTCAAAACCACCTTTTGCGAAATACGTTTTTGAATTCGATGGTTTTGCCAAACAGTCCATCGGGCACTAGGCAAAAACTCATTTCCGAACCGTTATTTTTCCTGGCATGTACAGTAACACGGTATTATTTCTCGATAATATGTTGTCTGATATCACATAAACTATTAATCTCGCTTTCTGAAAACCTTGATCGGAATTTCATTAAAGATGTTTTCAATTTACAAAACTGAAATGACAGTATGCCAAACACTGTGGAATTAAAAACGCGTTTTGAATTCACGGTTGGCTCGAGTGAAACAGAGCCAAGCTACCTACGGATGAATTGGCGAACGATGGAAGGATCCGTTGGGGGGCTTGATTACATAAGCACTATTTCGTGGCGGGATATGTCAGTAACCTTTTTTCCCGTGTTACTTACTGCACGGGTACTGTGCTCGGCAGGAGCTAATACTGGCACTCGTGCTCGGGGGGTGCAGTCAGTCAGGTGACACCTAAGTGTGTTAACTGCGCTTTAGTGTAGCAGACGGGGGGTATGGGTTAGAGCGAGAACAGAAATCGATTCTTAGCCACATCTTGAGATATTTTTTTGCATCCGGGAGAAAAGTCTGCCGACACTGAAAATGGTAAGATTTTGCTTAGTTGGCATTGTCTCAAAGATTCTTAACTCTCAGACGTTGGGACAAGGGTAAATTCACGGTGCAGAGCAGGGATAGACATCCTCCTTTGTGGAGGCGCTCGGGAAAGTATGCGTTCCAACCCAGGGTCTGGCGCTATGGTACAACGGGCTTGGAACGAGTGATGAGAAAGGTGAACAGGAAAAATTGATAACTAGTAATGGTTAGCTATGATCATGATATGTTTGAATTTTTAATCCCTCCTTTGTGGGGTTTTGTTGCACTGTTCTGCAGGAAGTCATGGCACACGTCACGCAACTAGAAGCGCTGTACCATTGCTATCTACAAGTAACCTCTGATACCTGCTGCGTATGATACCATGAACTCATAATATACCCTTGCACTATGTCTCCCTAATTGCCCTTGTACCCTAGCACGGTGCGTTCGGATGAGGATTTTGTCCCTGCTCTGTCTCGAGCTCGCATTAAAACGCCATATCCTATGAGGCCGCTCTATCGCTAAGGATAAAGCCTTTCGGGGATCTGAAATATGACGCGAGTACAAGTTTCACCTCGGCCTTCTCTTATCCCGAGATCTGTAAAAGCACCTCCCGATTCTCGTCGGTTGGCGTGCCGGTGTTGGACTAGGAAGACGGTCAGATGGAGAAGTTGGCCGGCAAAAACGCTCCGAAAATTACAAACTCCAAAAATCTCGACTGATGGCCAGCAGTAGGGAGAGGGAATTCGGGGGAGTAGTAGTTATTCCTGATAGCACGGTATGTTACCATTGTTGTGCTGAATTCCAAGCGAAACCCACGTATAGAGAGAGATTCACTTCTGCGCTTCGCACCCTTCCCACTTTCCAATACTTTAATGCGGTTGGCTAAGCGTGCCGTGATTTGCAATTGGCATTAACTTATGTATTATCACGTTGCCGTGGCTCCAAAGCTCTTAGCAGGTCCTCTGCGGCCTTCATCACAACTTATCACCCGATTCGGCTCAACTCCCGGTTTCGAGACTGCATCGCGACCTCTCAAATTCTTTGATTATTTTGAGTCTGAATAGCTTATCCCCTTGCTAAAGAACCTTTTTTTTTTTTAAAAAAAAAAACTCCCCCCGCGGTTGTGTATAACGCGATTTTAGAGCTATGTGCTGCTCGGAATTTGCGAGACTTCCGCCGTGCTTGAGTTCTTTTGACTAGAATAATTTCTCATGCTCTTTTTCGGTTCTTGTTTCGACATTTGCGTAATTTTAGACATATTTAGAGCTTTTCGGAGTGGGGGTTGGAATTCCGGTCAAGGGAAAATCTCGCCTTGGGCAAATGTGGCATTCAACTAATTAAGTTACCGGGATTTGGCGAACCGTGGTATCATACCGTATTGGGTATGGTGAGAAGTCAGCTATGTACTGTACCGTACGTTCCGGCAGCTGAGAAGCACGCAGCCAACCAGGGAAATTTTCGACCAAGGCGGGCTAAATTCAGGTGGGATTGCAAATGGTACTTGTACGAGTACAGTGCAGAGGTTTCTACTGGGTATTTTCGGGTCCCGGCCCGCACCGACGTTCCGCCATACTCAGCCATGAGATATGATACCGCACAGACGCGCCACGAGATTTCGGGTAGCTCGTGTGTTATCATACATAATCTCAGTAGAAGCCTTGGCATGGCTACTACTCTACTTAGGAACTTGGATGATTGGAGGGTCTGGTGTGCATCATAGCCGAAAAATCCCGTTCTCCGGAAAGACGGGGAAAAGAGGTAAGTTAGAGCAGAAACACACAGCCCCTTTCTCCTTTCCGAGGCGGAAGATGACAAGAATTTCCTTAGCATACTGGGAGAGGAGGGCTTAATGACATGGCTCACCGTCTGATTATTCGGGTTCTTACGGTGGTAAGTACGGTGCATGTAGGAGCCGAGCGCTCCCTAGTGCCAGCATACCAGCAAATGAAAAGTCGGAAATCAAAAATTACTGGAATACTGAGAAGACGAGAGACTGCATGGTGTGATCCCTGCCTATCTGCCCTAAGAAAGTTTTTCTTCATTTGTCCACCTTGTTTTGCTGTCTTCTATAAATCTCCCACTGGCTATCTTTTCAAAACCATTTTTTCACATTGGAAAAGGTGGGGGGGCCATTGGGTTGGTGAATTGTAGAGCTCATCCCTGCGTTCGGCATCGGTGAGAGTTTGCTTAGGGGACTACTGCTCCAGAGACAGGATTACATCCCCGGGTATGCCGGTGTTCTGCCGGTATTGGGGGCCTAATAGTATGATATTTGTGATGCGGTGCTGGAAAAATAGTTGCGCGTTCTCAGTTCCGGGTGAACATATAGGGTGCCCCCCCCTGGGATGAGTGAGTGAGGAGTTTTCAGGGTATCTTT